TGATAACAATTTTCAAAAATTCATGATATATATGGGATTCCTTTACTAAAATTTTTACTAATTTCAACAACAATGATTGCTGCTTCTTTTCTCTTTTTTGATGTATTTTGTCAACCTTTGATTTAGATGATTCGCCAAAATCTTTGTTTGAATCCTTCCGAACATTCATAGGATCATGCAAAGACTTTTTTCTATTTTCTTTCCAATTTTCATCGTCCGAATCATAAATCCTTCTATTAGTAAAATGATCCATTAATACGATGTAATAGAACAATGAACAAAAAGAAAAAGAAAAAGAAAAAGAAAAGAAGAACAGATGATAAAGTAAGAAGAAAAAGCAGACCTAGAGACGGCTGATATAATATAGCAATGAACAAGAAGAAAAAAAGAAGAAAATAAGAACAGATGATGGATTAAGAAGAACAAGAGCTATAGACGGACGATGGAGTAAGAAGAAGAAGAAGAACCATAGAACAATGGTCCAATTTTCAGAAATTTCAAATTTTTTGAATTTTGAAATTCAAAATTTCATATTAAATGTTGTGAAACGTTTTTAATTAAAATTAATAATTCAAAATTCAAAAAGTGATTCAGAAGATTGAGTGTTTTAGTGGAAAAAAAATAGGCATGATATGGGGAAGTGTGTGTTATAGGAGAGAGAAGACTATGTATCTCTGAACTTCTACTAAAATTAAAAAAAAAAAAGAATTATGTAATATTTAAAAAAAGAAGGGAAAATTAGAGTATACTAAACTTATAGTTGTGTATTTAAGTTATTTTTCCAATGTTAAAAGAAATTTTTTCAAAATGTCATTTAATATGACCCTTTAGCTACATTATCAATATTTATTGAAAATGTCAATATTTGAGTTTTTTATATATTATTTTTTTAATTTGTTTAATTTGAAAGAATACAATTTTTCAATAACAGAATAGAGAAAATTAGGGAAAACATTTTTAAAAAGGAATATATCACTTGAATTTTCATCAATACAATTTTTTTTAAAAAAGAAAAAACTATAGTGATTCGACTTTCATTGTTTCTCTAACGTCCAATATCAAATTTTCTCCCCATTATTTCTCAAATTTCATTAGGATATATTTTCTGTGCCGAAAGAAAATGTTGAAATAATCGAACTACCATTGGCTCATTTCTCTGAAACCAAAGAACCCATCTCCTTGTGGTTAGCATTTTATCGATTTCCATTTGTAACTTTGAATGGATCTTTGAACTCAGTCTGAAATTTTTTATAGGCTGCTCAACTTTAACTCAACGCAGAGTTGAATATATTGAAATTAACTATTAAAGATCTATTCTTTCAAACTTTGGAATGATTTATCGCTAATGTTTTATGCTTAATTTATTATTTTGGGAAGACAATCCTTGTCGGGTAAGTTTCAATCCGCACGAAAGGCGTAACGATCTGGGCAATGTCTTGGAGAGAGGCTTAGTGAAATAGACATGTCTGTGAAGATGCGGACTTCCTGAACCTGGACAGAAAGACGCTATGAAGCTTCACTGTTCCATGGGATAGCTTTGGGCCTTTCCTGCGCAGCTTAGGTGGAGCCTTCCGCGGGGGGGGGGGGGGGGGGGGGGGGGAGCCATCAGTGAGACCACTCTGCAAGGGCTAGAATTCTAACCTTGTGTCAAGACCTAGGGGCCAAGGGACAGTCTCAGGCAGACAGTTCCTATGGGGCGTTTCCTCGGGGCCAGACGAAGATTAGACCTCGAGTACAAAGGCAGAAGGAAGCTTGACTGCAAGAGCCACCCGTCGAGCAGGGACGAAAGTCGGCTGTAGTGATTTGACGGTGCCGTGTGGAAGGACCGTCGCTCAACAGATAAAAGTTACTCAAGGATAACAAGTTGATCTTCCCAAGAGCTCAGGATTTATGTGTGATTGGGGACAACAAGCATGCTACCTTTTTTAATTCATTCTCAAACTGAAAATAAATTGTATAAGAAATTAGGGGTAATGCAGCTTGAAAGTAGATTTTGAAATTGAATTTAGATACAAATTTATTGATGTAATATTGTATATTGAATAATTCAAATATAAATTAGTTTGGAGTACAAATTTGATGATATTATGTATTGAATGATTATAATACAATCTTGATGATGAGATCGCAATTCTATATTAAAATATTGTGATTTTATATGTCGAGTGATTGCAATACAAAGTTGTTCAACAGTTAGTAAATAATTTTTAGAATACAATTTTTGAAATACATAAGAATTTCAAATACAAATCAGTTTAAAATACACTTTTGTATAAATGAAAAGTTAAAAATAAAAGTGAATAATGAATTTATTGACCAACTATATAAGGAAACGACTTTTAGAATACAATTTTTGAAATACAAAATCTAATTTAGAATACAATTTTTTGTTTTGTTTAATCAAAACTTCAAAATAAAACTACATAAATACAAATAATTGATATACAACATACAAAATACATTTATTTTGAATACAAGTATAGTTGATAAATGAATTTGAACATGACATACAAAATGAATGATTTAAATGCACGTGGATATAATATGCTTAAATAAATATTTGATGAAAATACAATTAACATACAAAAAATAAACAAACAGACTTCTAGTTCCTTTTTCCATGAAAGCATGAGTAAACGAATACAAATTTAAGTAAGAATATATATTCTTTAATTTGCCTATATTTTAATTTAAATAAATACAATACTCTGTAAATACAATTGAAATCTGAAAAAATACAACAAACAATACTAATATGAACACAAATTAAATAGAAGTGAGGTTAATAATAATACAAGCTCGAAAGATATTTTACTAAATAAACTATTTTGAAACTGAAACACAAAAATACATAAAAGACTCCAAAAAAATACAAATAAAAAATAAAAAATAATGATGTTAACTCAGTATATACAAACTCAATAAGAAGTTATCCGATGAAATGATTATATGATACATATCTTTTATATGATTTTTTTTTCTATTTTGAAAAGAAACAGGAGAAAGAATCTGGAAGAAAAGAGAATAAAGAACGAAAGTGGGTTGAAGGGGAGTCGAAATATGACATATTTTAGGAAAATAATTATAAACATATATATAATTTACTACATATGAGAGAGAAAAATTTGAAAAATAACGAGAGGAAGACGTAATAGCTTGAGATGTGGGCTTAATATGAGATATATTAGTAACTAATCAAGGATACACGTTATTTGTTAAAATATTGATATATTAATATTTTAATAATTATTTTAAAATATAGATATTTTTAATAATTATGTTTGAGATTTTGATTAGTTAGCTAATTTTTTCTAAATATTAGTCATTGCTTTTCTGTTAAGTCACAATTCACATTGTTTGTATTTTTTAAAGCTATTTAATTAAGAGCAATTTTTGTATTTAGCAAAAAAAAATCATATTTGTAAATTATAACTATACAATCATTAACAAACTTTTGCTATGAAATGTCAGATTGTATAAATCCTAAAAGACATTCGATTTGTATAAAATTACTAGCAGGCTCTTATTTATATAAATCACGCAGTCTCTCGTTTGTATAATTAAAGGAAGAAAAATGTTCAAAGCTGAAGAAGAATGATTTTGAGATTTTATTTCTTTTGGATATGATGAGCTTAAAGAATAGTGGACCCGTAATTCACTTTCCATACTTTTAGTCAATATTAAATTAATGGGAATTTAATCAACACAGCAATATGTTAGTTTTTTTTGGTGATATAGTAACATTATTTCAATATTTAGTAATATTAGCATGTTTAATTATTACTTTAGATTAGTAATACCGTATATTTTCTTTTAATATGGTATGTATATTTATAAAAAAATATTATAGAAAAGATGGAAATTATAACATAAAAAAGGTAAGTAGTATTAATATTTCTTCAGTTACTTTTTAAAAGCTGTAGTTTTGGCATATATTAATTTGAACGTTTTTTTTCTTCTTCCCTGTTCTTCATGTTTAAAAATGATTATAAACAGATTTGTCTCCTCTATTATTCAATTGATAAAGAAGCTTTATTATACAATTCGAATTCTGCAAATATAATCGAATACGAAAATTTTTTGAAAGCGGAAATTTTCAAATCCCACAACAACAATTTATTCCTTTCGGTTTTATTCATACTTTAAAGATCAGGTATTTTTTTAAAATTTTTTAATATGAATATGTTAAATGTTTGTATGATTTGAATTTTTTTTTGAAAGATCATCTTATGTTCCATTTATATCAGTATAAAATCTCTGAACAATATAAGCAACAATAATATAATTATATATGTTTATATGATGTGTACGGCTAGATATGTGTTTGATTCTGTTTAGACCCATATTAGTTATGTGTTTTTTTTATTTCTTGTTTTTAACAATATGAAATTCTATATGTATTAATTTTGAAACGGTTGTTAGTGTGTGATAAAAGTTGTGAATTTGAGTTCAATCTTTACCGATTTTGGTACCCTTTGAAGCGTACACTTTTTTGAATGTAGATTGGACACATTTTTTTATTTTGGAATACTATTGAAATGTGATCATCACTTATATATTTGTTATTGTAGCCATGGGAAGCATTAGTTTATTGGTCATGCATTCTGGGAGGTAGAACAATAAAAACTGCTATGTTGATTACAGTGCAGAAGCAATTGTGTTAAAAGAGCATGCGACATTTAGAGAAATAATGGATCTTGTTTCAAAGCAAATTTGTGATGACTTGAGCTTCAACATTGTGAAACTTAAATATAAGATAGAGGGTAGTACTGCACCTCTTGAAATACACAACGACATGGGCGTGAGAGTGTATGTGTCGTTGAAAAAAGATAACAAAGAATTGTCAAAGTATCCTATATGTGTATCCGTATTTGTGAATGACTGTCAATTAGCTGATAGAAATATGTTTGAAAAGATGGATTCGAAATGTGTGGGCCTGGTGGAATAGTTATAGTTGATACAAATCATTAGTGCTTAGTGTACCGAACAATAGCGATAACATGAATTGCGACATTATTACAAACGCCAAACATAAGGTAGTGTTGGAAGATCAAGTTTATAAGGACAAGGGAACTTTAAAGGCTGTGATGACGCAATACGCTATTGATCATAGATTCCAATGGAAAACGGACAGATCGAGTCGAAAATGGTATGTGTATTTGGGTTGGATTCTCTTATAATTTTTTTCATTATGTTTTTTACATTATATCAAATATTTATTTGTATTTTACCTAATTCTAATATGGTGTTATTCAAACAGTTATACACTTGTTTGTGTCTCTGATAATTGTGGGTGGGTGTTGAAGTCGTCAAGTATCAATAAATCTGGAATGTTCAGAATTAGAAATTCGTAGATGATCACACGTGTCCATTGAAAGATAAGGTCTATGAACAACGTCAAGCAACAAGCAATCTTATTAGAGGTATGATACAACCCAAGTTAGTTGATCATAAAAGAAAGTTGACGCCAAAGGATATACAACAAGATGTCAGCTTAGCTCTTAGAGTAAATGTATCATACTCAGTGGCGTGGAAGGCTAAAGAAAAGGCTGTAATTTCTTTATGGGGTACCCCATCTGGTTCTTATGGTAAACTTTCGAGCTACTTATACGTATTGGACGCTACCTACCCTGGATCTCATATAAGGATGAAGAAAACCGATGAAAATCAATTTCTTTATCTTTTTATTTCGCTCTTCCCATTCATAAAAGGTTTTGAGTTTTGTAAACCAATTGTCATAGTTGATGGCAGCCACCTCAGGGGGACTTACAATGGAGTATTTGTTTCTGCAAGTACTGTTGATGGAGCAGGTATTGGAATGATAATATATACACTTTGTTTTGTTGATTAATATATTTATTCTATATGAAATAAAAACTTTATTAAATGTTTTGTGTGTAGGAAATATATTGCCGCTAGCATATGAAATTATTGATTCAGAAAATGATGCATCCTGCACTTGGTTTTTTGAACAGTTTAGAGAAGCGCATGGCGTTAAATATAACATGTGCGTTGTGTCTGAATACGAAACGAAAGTATTATAAAGGCAGTTTCGAGGGTATTTGATGGAGTTCCTCATTATGCATGTATTTGGCATTTGTGAAAAAAATGTGAAAACATTATTTAAAAAGTCGCACAATAGGCTGTCGGAAGTTTTTATGGGATGACAAAGGCATACAAACAATCTGAATTTGATGAACTGATGGAAAAGGTTGAACAAGTTGATGTTCGTGTAAAAAATTACTTGGAATCAACATGTTATGAAAAATGGGCTAAGGTGTATGCAACAGTTGATCGAGGAATGGTTATGACATCAAACATAGCTGAGTGCATAAATGCTTGTCTATTTGAAGCAAGGGAATTACCGGTATACAATTTTCTTGAGGAAGTAAGACAGATGTTGCAAGATGGAATTTGAAAAATCATACGTCTGCTTCACATACATTCATCACACTTTGTGGTAGACCACAAGAGATGCTTGTTGCTAATGAAGAAGCATCATTACGTATGAAGGTATGCTGTTACGATTTATATGTTCATCAAAATTATATGACATAAATGTTTTATTTTTGTAGGTTGTGCCATCAAATAACTATGTGTTTAGTGTTCATCACGAAGGTAGAACCTACATTGTTTGTTTGGAAAATAAAACTTGTACTTGCAAGAGGTTTCAAATAGATGAAATACCATGTTCGCACGCTTGGGCTGTTTTAAAGAAGAAACATTTTGATGTTGCGCCATATTGTTCCGACGTGTACAAGCCAAGTAACTTGTTAGATACATATAGCATTCCAATTCGTCCGTTACCTGATCAAAAAGAGTGGAATGTACCTGGGTATATTAAGGACCAGATGGTGCAGCCTCCAAATCATAAAAAGCTCCCTGGAAGGCCATCCAAAAAGTATCGTGACAGGACGTATAGCGAGCTATATGGTAAGAAGAGAAAGAATTCTTGCAGTACGTGTGGGTTTAAAGGGAACAATAGGCGTTCATGTAGGAATGGACCGCGTATTGTGTAGTTAATGATGTTTCATTTTTTGTATATTTTTAGAGTTAGGTTTCTTCCAGACTTCTAATGCCTTCTGGGTAATAAAATAACATGGACTTCTTTGTTCATGGTTGTATCTTGAGATGTATTCGCTCTACGTCTTCTCTCGAATAATATTATTTGTATTCGAAACCTGATTGTATCTACGTTTTAATACCAATTGTTACATCCATTTGAATGCATACAATTGTTGGATTCTTCTATTCTGAATTCGGCAAATATTTTTTTTGTATACGTTTTCTTTCGAGAAGTGTTCATTCATATCCATGTTTTCAATATATATTATATTTGTCCTATCTAAATTTTATGAGTGAACTTGTATGTGTCACATACAAAACCTTTGCAGTTACTTGTATTCCAGTTGAATTGTATTTATAATATAATATAAGTTATATTTTGTAACATTTTAATGAATGCAAAAAAAATTTCTTCGTTTTCTATTGAAATGTATTTGTATCCCAAATACTAATATCTTTTGAGGAAGTGTTCATATTTATGTTTTTAATCTATAATGTATTTGCTCTATCTATAATGTATGCGTAAAATTGTATGAGTAAGAAACAAAATCAGTGCAGTTACTTGTAATCAAGTTAAATTGTATTTATAATATAATATAAATTGTTTTTGTAACATTTTAAAGCATACAGTTTTATTTTTTTGGTATACATGTTCTCTCTAAAAGTATTCATATTCGCTATACGTATTCTATCTTTTTTATGTTATTAGTATTATTAATTGTATTTACAATTTAATAATTTAATATCAAGTCTTACATCCATTTGAAACATATGAATGCATACAGTTTGTTAGATTATGTAATTGTTTTGGTATACCTTTTTATAACGAAAATGTATTCGTATCCATGATTTTAATCTACATTATATTTGTTCTATATATATTGTATGTTGGTAGAATCATATGTATGTTGATAGAATCATATGTATTGCATTTAAACATCAAAAATGAGTTGTGTACCCCACATGCAATACTTAAGTTTGAACACTTTAATATTAACCCAAAACCTTTGAAACCATAACTTCAAGATTTTATACATTAATAAACACAAAAGAACAGGAACCCTTTAAAATCGTTTCATAGAATACAAAAACTAATGTCCAATTACACATCACAAAATGGACAACAACTAATCTATTTGAATTGTATCAATCTCCTCCATTGCTACATTGAATCTGCCTATATCGTGGAGGTGCTTCATTGTCACTTATTGCTCCGGCATCATTCTTTTATTGGCCATAATTCCAAAGAAGTGTAGCATATCTTGACCGTAAACACGATGCATCCAAAATATTCGCTGGAATACCTTGGCCGTATGATAGGTATTCGGCAAAAGCTAGCATATAAATACCGCAATCCCTATAATATAAGAAATTAAAAGTTAGTACAAAATATAATATTGATAATTTGATGATAGTAAAATTTTAAAAAAAACACAAACTTACAGAGACTCATGCGACTGTTGAGGAACATTATCTATGAATACTACATTAAAGAACTCATTCTCTTGTTGAGCTTGCGATACATCAATTCCTTTATTGTTGTAATATTCATTGACTGATAACTTCAAAGGGATCAACTGAGACAGTTTAACTATCTCTGCCTTGATAGCTACATCGTGACCTGCTGCCCTATATGAGTCATACACGTTGATACACTTAACATTAAATGATATCACAGCCAACACCCAATGAAATTTCTCCTTGACGTGGACAGGAACAAAAACGTAATCGATCTTATGCCAAGGTGTAGCAGCATGCATTTTGTACCCTCTAATGTATTCACCAATGACATGCTCTTCATCGGCACAACCAACACCGCTATCTAAATCCAAACATTTTTCCCAAATAGCAGAGATCTTTGAACTAAATACACAATTTAAAGTTGTGTATTTATAGCTTCCTCCAACATCATACTTGGCTTTTTTCCGTAGATAATATAAAATCACATCAACACGCTGACAAATTTAAACACAAATGTATAAATACTATAACTACTAATAATCATTGTTTGTAAATATAAATGCTAAATATCTCTTACCAAATTGTTCAATAACTGTCCTTTGAAAAACATATTATAGAAGCAATTCTTATTGTCTACTATGAGAATGCCAAGGTTAATGGCCACAGAAATTTCAGCCAGATTCTTCTTGTAATGGTCTTGATCATGCTTCCTAAAAACAGAATAAAAATAAAAACATTATACCATTCATTAAAAAAGTAAAGTAATTACTATCAACATTTAAATACAAAAAAAATTAAGAAAACCTATATATAAGCTGCATCTAACAATAACTGTTGTTGAAACACAAACAAACATTTAACCGGATACAAAAATTTAAACAGTTATGTTTTAAAAATATCTTGTAATTATTCACCAATGATTTACTTTCTGTCATGCTTTGTAAGTAAGCCATCTCGGATTCATGAACGAAACGCATCCCACAATGTTATATCATAATCGCCAGATATCAAAACAAATATAAAAGGGTGTTTCAATTCAAAAATGTGGGGCTGACTTGATGAACTACCTGAGATGGTTCAAAACACTATAAATTAAATACACACTAACAGTAGTAATAAAAAAATGATTAAATTAACAAAAGTATTAAAATAATAGAATACTGTACCAGTAGATGATCCAAAATTGGTCAGATACGGAGATGTATTATAAGACCTAGACGTCTATTCCTACGCGTAGGTAATGGCGTCTGTTCGTTATTGCTGATAGGTTGAACTATCATCAAATTTTCATCGTTCGTACCCAATTGGACATCGATAGTGACCTGATCTTCCTTTGTTGTAATGCATCCTGCAATTGTTGTTGGCAGCTGTTCAGTATGTCCTTTTATCACAGTTGAATGTGGTGCGATGCTACTATTTATAGAATTGAGACTAGGCATGAATTGATCGTCCAATTCAAACTGTGAATCGATTGTCACTTTCATGTGATCCAAAATACGGATAGGGAATGGACATGACATTTGTTCAACATCATCCTCATGAGATTTTTTAGATACTCTAAGCACTTTTTGTGGGGGTATATCAAATACAAAACTTGATTGATTTACCTATTAATTTCGTAAAAGTAACAACACCTTAAAAGTAATGACCCAAAAAATGGTATAACAAATGTACTTATAAAATTAAATAACATACTCTAGAAATTGTATGTCTTGGAGCACTTAATTCATAATCCACTTCAATTAGATTCCGAACAGGGGTGTTGACACAAAAAACCTTATAAAATGAAATTGTCGATATGATAATGAACATTTAATGAGACTGGAAGTTAAGCCAAATTTGTATATTGTAATCACACGTTAGGATGTACGAAAAAAAAACATAAAACTTGTCTAAAACCTGACTTACTTCATGATCATCGGATTTGGGGTATTTTCCATCTGGATTGTTGATTGTCTTTAAAAAAAATAAAAGTAACAATAAACATGAATTTTTTTTAATGGACACAAATAATGAAAAGTCATTTAAAGTTGTAAGTGATAACAGTTATGATACATGTAATCATAAAACGAGTTAAGATTGTTTGATACAGTTTGATCATAATCATATACATGTATAATTATATAAAATATGGGAGGCTTATTAATGATATTTATTACACAAGTATTGAGTTTAAAAATGATACACAAAATCTTGACTTACATGAGGCACAACATTTGTTGATTTACTGTCCTTTGAAGCTTTGAGTGTCTTGTAAAAATATAAAAATTCAATAAATATGTAAACAAATATTAAAAGTTACGACTTCATAAAAAGTGAATAAATTCAAAATTTTCGTAAAAAAACACCAAAATAGGGATCTTATATACAGCCTAAATTAATAAAAAAAACTACGAGTACCTCTGAATTTCCAGATTCCAATTTGTCACACTGAGCTACAAGAAACTTGATTTGATGGAGATTCTTTATTGAAAGTGTATGGTGGTGTATACCCATCTTCATCATTTGAATTTGGAGGGACAATATGATCATCAGAATGCTCTGCCTGTGTTATATTACACGTAAATCATTAACAAAAATGTAAATTTGAAATACGTTACATCATTTTATTTTTTATAACAAACCGCCTGCTCATCCCGTGTTGAATTGATGGCTGCCAGAACAGTTTTGAAGTTGTCGTTGATCAAATTGCGAATTTCAACAAACTCTTGTTTAACCTAAAAATATGGCATAATGATGTACGTTATTAAAAATTTATAATTATAATAAGTGTATAACTATGAAGGATGTACTATATGGTAAATACTTATTTTCTGAAATCTGACAGCTCTTTCACCCAGCCTTCCCACTTCAGATCCGCTTGTTCTCTGAAAAATATCATAATCACTCGAAAGTTGTATTTTTGTTAGATATGCATGTAGACATTCAGTTTGTTTTAAAATAACCTTAAGTTTCTTTAGTACCTTTTTTGATACAACATTCTTTTTCATCGGTTGTTTAACAGCAATTCGAGGTTCCAAATTTTTTGCAACCTGTTTGGATCCACCAGTCACCAGCTTCTTTGTCCTTTTTCTAACAGGCGACGTTGAGGAACCACCATTTTCTTTTCTTTTGACCTTTACTGCTTGTGGAGGAGGTGCTTGAAAATCATCTTCAGAATCTTTATCGTCGTAGCTTCCCTCTCGTTGAACATCATTTCTATCAATTATTTCATCATCTATATCATCATCTGATGAATCTGAATACTGAGGTGGAGCTTGATTTTCAATACCCTCCGGTGGCAGTTGCAATACTACAAGTTCCCTTTGATTTGGTGTAATGTTCCTGAATTTAATCTGAATTCCAAACATATGGTTACTATTATAAATAAAACCAATAAGAAAACATACAACTTGGTTTGATTATTAAATATATGTCAAGTTAAGTACCTTGTTATTAACATCACTAAATATGGTGTTCATAAGTTTCTTGTATCTACGACTCTCATTGGTCGTGCGCCGGTTGAGCAACCTCGGAATATGGTCATCAACCTTTTGAGCGACTTGGAAATCAATACTCGAGCTGCACTCAAACAACCATACTTGGAATACAATAGGCATTCCCCCGATTCTGTAAAATTGTTTTTCATCATTTAACCTCTTGCTCAGGCTCTTCGTCAGCAAAGAGAAAGTTTTTTTTCCCCATGGAAACTCACTGTACCTTCCACTTTCAACAAGATCAAAATATAATCTCAAAATTTTTTTGGTAGCTCTTTCACCGGAAAAAATCACTGTCTGAATGAAGTATAAAATTGCAAACTTCAGGCCATCCTGATCGTTCTCCCCCCATACTTTTCGATGAAAACTCCTAATTATATCAATTTTTCTGATCAACTTAACACCCTCAAAATATTTTTCCATGAAACTATTTGGTTCTAACTGATCAAAGATGAAATCAGTTTCTTCGTTGACACAATTTAATGCACTGATTAAAGCAAATTCTCTCAAAGTGAAACGCAACGTAGATCTATTTACACGCATTACAAATGCTTGGCGAGAACTATTGAGTTCTAAAGCCATGCAACACCTATGTATTTGTCCGCGAGCACGACATTGATGCATTTGCATATAATTACCAAAGCAGGTGCTTTCACAGAATACATTGTATACATGTCCATGTAAATAAGTCATCAAGTCATCTTTTATGTCATGATTAAAGAAACAATGAATATGGGGAGCTTTTTTTGGTTTATTTTTGACATAAAATTCATTTGCCTGCACATGTTCAACAATAAAATGAATACATACTTAAAAAATTTCTGATATATAAATCTATTACTAATTAAAAAAATAGAATATGATAAACTACATTGTATATAAAATAGTGAATGTTAATTCAGAATCATGAATATTGATGACATAAAAAATAAAATAAAATAAATAACAAAATACAACTAAGCTGATACTATAAGTCTATCAACATTTGAATACATAAATATGCTGAAGAAAACATAACTACATTATTCAACAGTCTATATATATGTATACAACAAATAATATAATTTTGAATTAATTAATTAATCAATTTCTGCTGTAACAATAATATAGTATTAAGATGATTAATTACTGTACAGTTATCGCTATTTCTCTCTCATCTTCGTATAATAACACATTTGGTCCTTCAATTATTATATTACTAATGAATTTACTTATTAGTAGTATTCAATAACATATAATCTTTCATTAATTAAAAATTACTACATTTTTTGCCTTTATATATTTAATATATAAGAAATACTTTTGTAACTATTTTATTGTTGATTGTGGGTAATAATATTTAAGCTGCATATTATGCCTGGATAATTAAGTGACTAAATGATTAATAATTATAATATATTTATTATATTTCAATTAATTGATAAATTAAATATACTATAAAATATTGAAATATCTAAAACAAAAATTCACCAATAAAGAGTAATTGAGTCTAGAAATAGTTAATAGGTCGAAAACTTGCAAATTTTATGTTAATTCTATTAGTAAAACACATTGCAATCTTGTTGACAAGAAATTACTAATATTGACTACTTCAAAATTGTCGTTTTGAAAATAAGCTAATTTTAAGATTAACTAATTTAAGTTGAGAGTTTCTTTTTTTACAAAGTCAAATTATGGGCAAAAATAATGGCTACTATAATACAAAAACAACTATAGGGGCAGGTTCATGGTAACATATGAATCATATGATTTGTACTTGCTTTTGATATTTATCACATCACATTTAGGGATACAAATTTTTTTATGTATTTAAAACTATAAGCTTCCAATCTGAAAGACATGAAATTTCAAACACAAAAACCAACTATAGACATAGCATAACCAATTAGTTTCGTTAATAATTTATCACCTCTTCATCGTCATGACGTAATACTTCATCACTTGGATATTTTTGTTGATCAACAGTGGTTTTATAGCACGATACTTTTCTTTTTTTTGAAGAGCTATCAATTGCCCTTTCATACTCTAGTGTCATTCTCGCCGCAGATCCTACATTTTCGATCATTCCTTGAGTAATGCACAAATCAAATGAGGAAAATTCCATAAAATTTTGAATGTTGTTGTTTATACCTCTAGTAATTCTGACTGAATCAGCCAATGCATACAATACACTGTTTTTTCCCCCAACAATTCAAAAATCTGAAGAAAAAAAAAATCTTTTAACAACTGCGTATTGAACATCAAACAACAATGATTCTATATATATGAATTTTCATAATCTACCTAATCTTAAAAATTGAAAGAAAATCACAAAAAATATACAAAAAATACAAAATCATAAATGTATGATGTATATTAAAACAAAAATCACATAAATTGTCCATAAAGTGTTGATATACAAAATCAGAACTTCAACAAAAAACGCTAAAAGTCAAAACCGAAATTTGAACTAACCTTGCCACCACGAAATCTGCTTTTATAATGAATCTAGCTCAAAAATCTTCTTGAATCCTTGATAATCAATGGTTTTTCCTAATCATAAAAATTGAAAAAAAATTCACAAGAGATAGACAAAAAATACAAAATCATAAATGTATGATGCATATTAAAACAAAAATCACATAAATTGTCTATAAAGTGTTGATATACAAAATCAGAACTTCAACAAAAAACGCTAAAAAAACCGAAACCGAAATTTGAACTAACCTTGCCACCACGAAATCTGCTTTTAATAATGAATCTAGCTCAAAAATCTTCTTGAATCCTTGATAATCAATGACTTTTCCTAATCTTAAAAATTGAAAAAAAAAATCACAAGAGATAGACAAAAAATACAAAATCATAATTTATGATGTATATTAAAATAAAAATCACATAAATTGTCCATCAATTCTTGATAAACAAAATCAGAACTTGAACAAAAAACGCTCAAAAAATCAAAACCAAAATTTAAACTAACCTTTCCACCACGAAATCTACTTTAATAATGAACCTAGCTCGAGAATCTGCTTGAATCCTTGATAACAATGGCTTTGATGAAGAAATCTGGAAAATTTGAACAAGGAACTTGAAAATTTTGAATTGATTTTAATTTTTAGCTTTTTTGGAACTTTACACGAAAATTTAATTAATTAATTTCTTTTTTTTCATTAAATGTTATTGGACCATGTTTTGGTCCAATCAATGTATTTCCATTTATATATTAATTTAATAATATCAAAATATACTAAAATCTGAAATATACATATTTAATAAAAATACGTACAATTAATATAACATATTGCTATTTTGTCATTTTCACTAAAATTTTTAAATTAATGTTATTTTGATTAATTATGTTCTTAAATTTGTCTTAATTGCTAATTTTTCCTAAATTATATTTCTATTTCTTCCTAAATTTTGGAGCTTTAAGTCAAATAATGAGCCCATTATTATGAATGAACAGATTCTAATTAAGGTGTTTAAATAAAAATTTTGATAGGTTCGTCTTTTTTATTTAGACCAACTTCAAATGAGTAATGACCATATGTCTTATAGAGTATGAAGAATTGTAAACCATAACCTTTTAAACTAAGATATTCTAGTCTTCTTTCCAACACAATAAACGATTCAACAATACGATATTTGCACTTGAAATTTCCCATTTTATTGGAAAGTGTCAGTCTATGCGTATTGTCGGAATAAATCTCTCCTGATGAAGATAGAAATGAAGGACATAAATAGTCATGTACAAATATTCTGAGTGTGAGTTTTGATGGATCTAGTTAAGGAAACTGGAGAAGAGGATTTCTCATCTCTCTTTCTGCAATAAATAAACTAAGGTTCATCACTAGGGTTTGTCTCATTTCCTCACCAGATTCACCTTTGCTTGAACAGTGAAGAAGATGTAATAATATGATCCTTGTTTGGCTCCTTAATTCTCTCATCAAGGACATCAGTGAGAGTGTGATTTATTCACAAACTGATGAGGAATTATGGGATGAGCTTGAAGAGAGGTATGATCAAGTAGATGGGACCAAACTTTTTTAAACTGCAAAGAGATAGGTGATGTCACAGATACTTTACTAAAATCAAAAGTTAATGGGATCAGAGGTAGGTTTTAAGCACCTTCATGATATGCAATTGTGATTGTAAATGTGGAGCAAATATAGACAAGATAAAATATCTAATTTCTCATGTATCTAAATAGTGTGAGAGTGATGAAGCTGCTTCAATCTTTTCTTTGTCGGAATCCGATATCTTATCGGGGTACTTTCCGTCAATAGCATGGATTGAACCTTCCCTCCGCAGTAACGCTATCATCTGGATTTTCCAGATATTGAAGTTGTTGCGCCCACTAAATCTATCAATTTCAAACTTCATGGAACTCATTTTTTTTACTTGTTCTTCCTTTTCTACTACAATGTATTTGGAACTACAGAAAACCAAAGTAATCCTTTTCTGATTTGGAAGTTCAGACTGTGCTGCAACCACAGAGCATACTCAGACAAAACCTTGCTCTGATACCAATTGTTAGCGGAAACGTGAAACTAAAGAACAAGGAAGAACAACAATATTTAATGTGGTTCGGATCAAAATGATCCTACGTCCACCAAAGAACAACTGCACCGATATTTATTTCACTATAAAAGGAATATAAGTGAAATACTACAAGAGAGAGAACACAATGCCTTAGAAGGTGAGAAGGCAAGTGAAAAGATGATTTGAAAATGAATTAAGAGCTACCTATTTATAGGAATAAATTCATCCTATTGATGTCATCCATGACATCACTATGTGTCAAAATTGCCAAGGTTAAGATAGCAAACCATTTTATGGTTTGCCTAACTTTCACCTACCAAGATACAATCTTTGACTTGTATTTTGTACTAATTATCTTCCTACCAAATATTCATATTAATTCATCTTCCATTTAGTTTGATTCCACAAGAACCAAAACCAACTCTTTCAGAAGCCTCTTCCCAGTACTGCGCAAACTTACTCTATCATTTTGTATTAGGAAAGCCAAAAGGAGGTACAGTACTCTAATTTTGTTTCTATTACAGATCTTCTGCTTTTCTAAACACTGAAGGATCTAGATAGACTCCACAAAAGTACTCAGGGAATTAGAATGGAGGTTCTGAAGGCTATAATTCTGAAAACTTTGTTAAGGCTAAACCAACTGGTATAAATCATGCTTGTTTACTCTTCACTTCTTTTCTTTCTAAAATCACCAACTATTCTTGGGTATTAGACACTGGTGCTACTCAACACATGACATTTAACAAACATATTCTACAAAATGTAACTCTTTTTACCTTTTCCTATTTTTATCAATCTGGCCAAGTTACAACAAGTACATGCTTTTTTCATGGGTAGTCTATTAATCCTACTCCAACACTAAATGGAGTTCTTTATGTACCAGACTTTACTCATAAGCTAATCTTTATTAGTCTTTTGACAAAACAACTTGACCTTGATATGTTATTTACTAAAGATGGATGTATTCTACAGGAACCTTCTTTGAGGAAGGAACCCGTTTTTGGTGATGTTGTTGGAGGACTCTATGTGCTGAGGGATTATACTTCTGCCTTGATACTGTTAGTTTTATGAACTACTCACATTAATATTATTTTGGTTTAATATTTAATTACTAACTAAATTCTAATTTTAATTGGATAAGTAGAGAAGTTACTTCAACTACCCATTAACTCTTTCACTTTACCCATTAGCTCTTCCAACTATCCATTATCTCCACTACTCACCATGATGGAAAGATGGAAATGATGCTAAAAAATACTCTATTTAAAGGGTCCTCTCTCTGCCATAAAGATATTTTCTTATCCATCAAAGCTATACATAAAGTATAAGACAAGAGGGAGAAACAACTTCTAAAGATTCAAAAGAAAAAACTTTCGCTCAATAGTCAAGAATTATAATGACAGATTCGGGTATGTATTCTTGACTGAAATATCATAGTATTAAATATATGTGAAAATCATATAGTTCTACAATCCTGAATAATTGATAGGATTTCTAAATGTCAGATTGTTTATGTTTTCACAATCATTAAAAAATACTTATATGTGGTATCAAGAGCATGGTTTAAAAACTAGTGATTTTTCATAACATTAATGTTTTCCTTATTTGAAAACGGTAATAGGTATTATTAAGTGAAATAATTATCCTCTATCATGATGTATTTTATTTTGAAATTATGCATATGAGATTAGTTAATCACCAAAGTGGTCTAATCTTTGAAGTAAATTGGCGTTCATGATTGATTTGTATATCAATATTTTTTGATCGATCTTTAATATTATTGATTTATTATACAATTTATGATTAATTGTAGTAACTTGACGTTCATGAGTGATTTATGCATCAATATTTTTTCCGAATGTATGTGTTTATTAGTATTTAAAATTAATGAGATTATAGTACCATTTAAAAACACATTCTGCATAACATAAAAAAAATAAAAAGTTTAATTATGATAAAAGATTTAAGTATGAAAATTTTATTCTTGATAAATTAATTTAAAAAATTAAAAACAATATGATCATTATTTTAGTTAAATGAGTTTAATGAATTAAATTACTCTATTATTAAAAAAAGACTTTAATGTCATGTCATGCCAACTATGAGAGAATCATGTTTTTGAATTGTAAAATAGTGATAGTTGGGTGATATTTTAATCCTAAATAAAACACAAATAATATTTTAAGACAATTCCCTTAACTTGAATTTTAATGGATCCTCATAAAACAACTGATAGCTATCCAGAGTTAATAAGGTTTCTAACTGAATTACTCCTTCTATGCATTAAATATCTAAAATATTCTCAACTTCTATCTATTCAAACAGAAGCATTTACATTTTTAAAAAATTAAGCAAGCTCGTAGCAAAATATCTCCAAGCTTTTCAAATTATAGAAAGGGACCCCTAATTACCAGTAGTGATTAAAAAAAAAAAGGGGGCCTAGGTATATTTACTAAACTTAAAAGCTTGCCCCGAACTTTTCATATTATTAAAAAGAGCCTGACTTCACCCTTTTCTCAATGAAAGGGTTTCCCATGTAAAATTGTGTGCTTAAAAGGGTCACAAATATTTTGAGACTGTTCGAAACGGTTTAAATATATTTTCATTCATTTATTTAAGGGATAATACAAAAGTACTCTTCAACATATGTTCGAAATCTCAGAAACACACTTATACTATACAAAGGTCTTATTATCCCCTTGAACTTATTTTATTAATAATCTTGTGGCCCAATGCTGGTTGTTTTTTTCTTTCAAACTGGTGTCACGTAGGCCGAAAAGGGATATAAAATTACTTATAAAATAAGTTCAGAAGGGTAATAGACATTAGTATATTATAAGTGTGCCTCTAGAATTTCGAATATAGATTGAGAAAATACTTATGTATTTTTTCTTTTTTTAATAAAAATACTATTCAATTCATCTTTCAACCTA